AGTTTTTTTAAAAAAACCCTTTGAGGCTTTCATATTTAAAGAAAAACCATAAAATTTTTTTTTTTTAAAAAAAAAAAAAAAAAAAAAAAAAAAAAAAACAATGCATCATTTTCTTTCCATTTTGCCTTCCATATACCCCTCTCCCCCCCACACACACACAAACACAAAAGCTCATTTCAGTTTGTGGTTGCACTGCAGCAAAATGTGAAAATGTTCAAGGGGTGTGAATACTTTTGCAAGGTATTATAATATAAACAGAATCAATCTTTACACATCAACAATTCATCACAAGGCAACTTCGGTCAGCTGACATTCAGAGTCTGCTCGCCACATTCTTCATGTCAGGTGTGGCATTTGGCATTTGCATCCAGGAAAACACATGATCCGGATTCCTTTGCACGTAGATAATTGTGCCTTTTTGCAGTCACGCACAGAGAAAAAATAAATTCCTACACTGAAGCATTATGGTATTCTAGAATCCTCACCTCCGTTTTGACTTTCTCCAGCTCTGCTCTTAGCAGCTCAAGTTCTGACTTCAGGCTTTCGATCTGGAGATCCCTGCCAGACAGAAACCACTACCAGTCACACTCTGCTGGGATTAAAATCATAACCATCAGTTCAAAAATTAAAAGCTCACCTCTCATCAAAGCCTCCATTTGGAGGTCCAAACGCCTGATCAAAAATGTCCACCTGTTGAATAAAACACAAACACCAAAACGTTTAGACAGCAGGTAGCACACTGCGTACATCCGTACCCCTGTGACTAGTGAAACACACCTGAGGCTGAGACTGCAGGCTGGGGGTCGAGGTATCGACCTCGATGAGCGGCTCTGGCTCATCGTCATCGTCGTCTTGCTGATCATCGTCCTCGGGGATGACAACCACCAGCTTCACGTGTTTGGCCAGCGCTGCTGCATGCAGGAAGTTGGGTGGAGACTGGAAGAAAACGCATTCATTTAAATGACGACGGCATGGGCAGCACAGAACCAGCAGGTGACTTGCAGCGAAGTCTGTAACACCCAAAATGTCACTGTGACTCAGCAGAAGTGCAGCCATTTTTCCTCTCTTACATCAGGCAGCCGGGGAATCTGGATCAGCCTCTTGAAATACACCATCTCTCTAGCTCTGTTAAAGAAGTTCTTCAGGCTGTGTAGACAAAAACAAACAATGCACAAATACATCACGCACAGGATTATCCATCAACAATTTAATTTCTAGTTCTTTTCTGTTATTGCATGGGGTAAAACATATTCCCAAGTTAAATATGAACAAATCTGCACAATCTGACAAAGAGCAACGCCACAAAAATACATTTAGTCTGATACAAACACACAATGTGTGGGATGTGGTCCATTGCAAAACTATTCTTTTATTTTCATATAGATTTAGCCACATCACAACCTCACAATGCATTTTACTGGAGTTTCACAAACTTTCTGAAAATAATAATACAGACTGGATTTTATTTGGAAGCATCAGACTACAGGGGGCAGAGTACAACTGCACACGAAAACTTTCCAAATTTTTAAATCCATGTTTCATTCTCCCTCAACTTCACAATTACACTCAACCTGGTGCTGGTTTATCAAACTTTTATTTACTGAAAGTAGAGTTCAGTGTGTTTAATTGTAACTGGGTGGAGCAACGTTATGCTACAGATGGCCACTGAATAAAGAAAAGACAAAAAACCTTGATGCGTTCACTGACCTGTTGAATTGCTCACGGAAACGGTCACGGTGTCCTTGTAGGGTATCAGCAGGCAGACCTGGAATCATGATGCAGGTTTTTAGGCGCACATACAGATCGACTGCGTGTATTTTTCCAGAGCAGTCGGCGTTCTTACAGGCATGCAGCTTGAAAAGCAGCTTGACGTTAAAGTGGTAGAGCTGGCTGCAGTCCTGGACGACCTGGATGAGCGGAGCCAGGCGACACTGACCCGACGTGAGGCTGGTGACGGCGATGGAAGAGTTCAGCTGTCGCAAGACTGCAGGAGAAAACAAGGACATTTAAGATTCAGTACCTTCCCAAACATGAGCCCACTGCATTTCTGTTTCACTACTTTGGTTCAGGAATTGAAGCATTGTTTGAAAAGTGAGCTAAATTAAAATAAAGCACCAAGAAGATAACAATGTCAAATAATTGAAGAAAAAAAATTTAAATTGTACTTAACAGAAGTTATAAATACTATGAATGTTTAATAACTTAAATTACTGACAAGCAAAACAATGATATGCATTATAAATCAATACGTTCACAATTTTTTATTTGCACCTGATAATTATGTGACTGAATATACATAATTAAGAAATTTCACATGTAATGATTTAGTTAAAATGTGAGACACTGTAGTGGTTAAATATTAACCCTTGGTATTTCAGTTTTAATTTTCAATGCAGGATTTGGTTAATTATCTGAGAGCATAATTTGCATATAGAGGAACAAAAGTGCCAAAAATGTAAAAAAAAATAAAAAATCCGTAAGAAATTAATCTGTATGAATAATTTAACTGTAACACTAATTATTAAAAACATAATAAACATGCTGCTTGAGTTGCTTTTAACAGCACAAAAAATATACACACACATTTTAAAGAAATGATCCCACTCTGTTGCACATTCCTTTGGATTGGAGTCCGCCATTTTCAAAACTACTCAGTATTTTAGGGTGTCATTTTGACCTTACTCTACAGAATATTATTCTTAATTTGTTTTTTTTCATACATTAGTAATACTTCTATCACTGTGTGAACCTACATATCTCAATCTTCTATCACTGTTACACCTAAAGTTCCCACTGAGGACCAAGACATTTTAATCCTAGCTCCAGAAAACGCGTGGCTACACTCAGACAGCCGACTTGAAAACTTTACAAAGCTTGGAAACACTTTTTAATCCACACGATATTCCAAGCACATTCCAATTTATTCCTGGTGTTGCGATTCTGGGCCTCCGCCCTGCAAGCCTCGGAAGAACATGTCATTACTGCTAAACAGGAGGAAATCACTTTAATGAGCTCTGAGTGCAGGCACTTCCTCAGTGGTGAAACAACAAACAAGTAAAGAGGAGTTCAAACTAAACCGAGTCGGCTCAGTCACGTTTCGCATGGAGTTGTTCCCAGTCCGTGTGAAGAGATGCAGCCCGTCAGCTTCTTACTTTAACCTTTCTTGATCGAGGCCATTATTTGTGCATAAATAGATCATGTCTGCAGGCAGCAGTCCTCAGCTGCAGCTCAGGTTTCTCCTGCCTGAGAAAGCAGTTCAGAAAAAAAAAAAAAAAAAAAAAAGGTAGGAGGGGTTTTAGTCATCACCTGTCTCGGCCAGCTTCAGCTCAGCGTCCATGTAATCGAACACCTCCACGGTGAGCTGGAACCTGCAGGACAGAAGGCGATATCTTTATCACTCAGGATGGAGGCCCCACGACGGCACAATGGAGCTCTGACTCTGCAAGGCATATGAAAGGGCTTACTTTCATCAGAGGTTAACCTTTTTTTTTTAAACTCACACATTATTAATGTCGGTCCCCGCAGTGCGCTCCAGCACTTCGTCCTTCACCTCCAGGTTTGGAGGGATTTCCGTATGCTGCAAAGATGCAAAGCTTGAGGTTTAGCACTCTGCAACCAAAACAACTTGTGCTTTTTATGAGTTATTCTGAGCAAGCAGAGCAGAACAATAAAGTTTCTGCTTTATACAAGCGTGACAATGATGCATATACCTTTACATGAAACTCCATCTTTGTGCAGAGTAGCTTGGTATACAAAGCCACTAGCTGTCCATATTTGTCATGGAGGTGGCTCTGGAAATGAAACGAGTGGGAAATAATTATAGAACAAGAAAAAAACTTTAAAAACATGAAGAGTTTAAGAAAAAAAAGTTACTAAGACTCACCCATAGTTTCCCATATTCAGCTAGAGAGCCATGATGCCGCATGCAGTCCTGAAGAACCTGCGGAGGTTAAATGCACAGCTCAACTAATGTCACATTCACCGAGAGAGAGGTCTGCTCCGATTTTATTTTTCACAAAGCTTTGCGTTTAAAAAGAATCAAATCCATCAAAGAAGAAAGATTAGAATAATCAATGGCTTTGCCTTTACTGCACACAGTTTACAATTAGGTGAAGCGGTGCGTGTCGCCTTACATTGTGGTGGCCGTCTCGCAGGATTTTGTGCAGCACATGGCAGAACTTCCAGCACAGGATGGAGCTGGTGCCCAGAGGGAAGCCCTGAGCGTAGGACCAGAAGGTGTAGGCTCCCTTCTCCCTGTGAGTCCCCAAGATGATTCCTGTTCATGCTGTTAAGGAAAATACAAACTACCACACAACTGTGTCACAATTCTCAAAAACAACAAATTTAATATAAAACAAAATTTTTGGGGGAGGATATTTGCATTATATTTATTTTCCAAAACACCTGAATCGAATGAACGGCTCCTTCAGAAATGAATGCTGTGCTGATGAGGGAGTTCAGGTGTGTTGCAGAAGAATAGTAGCTCTCAAGGTTAATCCTGCTTACTAAAAACAAATAGTTTTTCAATCTGCACACCATTTAAAAAAACCTGAAATCTGCTGCTTCATTAAAATGCGTTTCATTGGTGATGACTGTGTTGGCGTCTCCTAAAATAAATGACCTGCGAGGCTCAGAAGAGGAAACACCCCAACATTCACTGTCCAATATTTCTTCTCAGATGACTACAGAGAGCTTAATCACACTTCAAGCTAGAGTTGGATGATGCCGACAAAACGATGACATCCCATTACTCTGTGCTTTTCTTTGCTATAATGACAAATATTCTAAATATTTAATTTGTTACAGGGCCTTTGACAAAGACTGTACTATCACATGTATTCACTCTCTCATTCCAGTTCAGGTGCTCCTATCACATCCAGTTGCGTAAAATCCAGCACTTAGACATGAAGAGTGTTGGATCCTACTGGATTTATAACTTCTAATTGAGAGCATCATCCACTTGGATGTGGTTTTGCATTTAGATCCCAGTTCTAATTGAAGACAGCATTAAAATGGGTACTGCAAAAATGTATACATTCCAAGTTTAAGAGTCATGGTCTAAAAGAAACCAATAACATATAGATGTGGCAAATTGCAAACTGGTTTCCAAATTTTACATTTCACTGACTGGGTGGGTGCGAAACATGAGCGTTACTGCTGGTACTGCTAAGAGACAACAGAACAAAAAAAAAATCCATTTTAAGACAAAAGGCAAAGATTAAACATGAGCAAACCCAAGAGACAGGTTTTTCTGAAGCCAACTATGTTTCGTCACGATGCAACCTTGATAAAAATGAAACCGTTTCAAGGATACGTCGCGCATGTTTCTCCTTCACAGGCGTCTCTGTGTTGTTGATGGCTTTGCTGATGCTGCTGAGCTGAAAGGAGAGGAGTTAAATTAGATTAGATCTTGAACAAATTTATTCTTCACAAACATGCCACGTAGTGTGTTGCATGTACTTTATCTTGCAACGGCTGCACGTTTGTTTTTTGGTGAGTGTTTAAGGGCGTTTAAAAAAAAAAACAATGCCACTCAATACACACTGACAAGCACTATGCGTTTAGCTTTATTGTGACTAATTAATATAAAATGCTTTTCATAAAACCAACCAACAAACAAGTTCTGACAAGCAAGAACAAAAACTGCTCAGACAAATATCTAAAAATAACTAAAGGAAGAAGTAAAATGTTATTCTTGCTGATGTTAATCAGCTAATCTTAGGCTGACATCAATACAAAGTTGACCACAGCCAGAGGCAGCATATTCAGACCGCTGTTGTGTCAAACTCAACAGCTCTTGTGTTAAATATTCAAAGGAAACTCTTAATAAGAGAGACAAACCCTGAATCAACGGGTGGTAACTACAATGCTATTAATAAACTTGAGTGACTCGCCATCACAGAAAGACGGGAGACGGGCGGCTCTGCAACCTGTCCAGCAGGTAAAACTGGAACTGCCGAGACACGAGCAGGAAGGCAGCAACAGGAACACATCAGCAGGATCTGTGCGAGTCTTCTGGACTTAAATACAACCTGAGGTTCAGAAACTGGTTTGTTCCTCTTGTTTAAGCCAAGAACGTTTTAATCAGAGCTGGGGAAGAACTCAAGCTCTTTATTCTATTATATTACCAATATGTTTGATGATTCAATGTCCCCAAACAATCCTTTAAAAATGCATCTTTTATCAGTAAAACTCTAGAAATTATTTAGTTACAGGTTTTTTGTTATCATGAATACCTGGCTAACAGCAAAAAACACTCAGCTGTATGCAAAGTACGCTGTGTACTTTTATGCAACTTGTTTAGGAAGTCTAAAACACATAATTGTTCTCAAATCATGTGTCATTGTGTGCTGTCACTTTAAGACAAAATAATGCAAATGGGAAAGGACAATATAGATAAAATGTGCTGCAACGGATAAAGCTAATTACTAGAGAGTAGTTAAATAGTTATTTTAAAAAAAAAACACCTATAGTTTCAAGAATAGTTCTTGGAATACCTCAATAAATTAAGTAAATGTTTTTAATAAATGTATTTTTCCACTGCTCTGGTATTCTGAACAGTCTTATCTAAAATCTGTGAAACAGACTGGATAGTTTAAAAAAAGGGCAGAATAACGATCCTGGATTAGAAAAAAAAAGAAACACTGGGTCCATAAGGTTTTCTTTTAGGATCATATGTTTAAATCATAAATAACCACGTCCTTCATGACAATACTTGGCTGTCTCAAGGCTAATTCTTTACAGTCCTGCCTTAGTGCATGTCTATGTTTTACGTGAGAGATGTTAATCAGCTAATCTTATGCTGACATTAATACAAAGTTGACCCAGGAATATCCTGATCTCAAGCATCATCTCCAGATCTGTATTTTCTGACTAAATGACAGATACCTTTTGTTTGATGTACAGTCAGATTTTATGCAATCCTACGTTTGGTGTGAATCTACAATTTGAGCAGCTAGTTAACAGAAAAGTCGTTGACATTCACATTCAGCAGAGAAGAGAGCAGATGAAACTCTCGTCAAAACTCGCCTTAAAAACTCCTTTAATTTTTGTCCAAACAGTTATCTGAAACTTATAACATGTTGAAATGAGAAATTAAGTGATAGAAGAAATAAGCTAATGTTAGCCCAACGTCGAGCTGCTCAGAATAAAAACAGTCAGCGGGATCAGGAAATCATTAAAGACTCTGCAAAGACAGATTCAGATGTTCTTTGAGAAAATAAAGAAAATGGGACATTTTATGAGTTATAATAGGATGTCAAACATTTATGCCAATGATCTGACTGCGTTTCTTGTCTTTTGGTCTTGCACGTTGGAAATCCTCATCTTTGCTAACCCTCATATCAGCGGTGGTAGCTTTAATTCAACATGTTTATAAAAGCCTTTTTAATCCATTAGAGACCTGGGAGTCAAACCCATGTAAACACAACCGTCCAACCATTAACGGTCAGACAAGAGATAAGAGAGGAGGTACACTCTGGGCAAAACAAGACGTATCTGTTTATAAAAGACTCCATCCCAGCCCCCCGGCCTCTTTCTGACTCAAATGAACCGCGTGCCCCTTCATTTACACTGGGCAGGCGAAGGGAGCGAGCATGGAAGTTTATGTGACAATGAGGGGTTTGTTGGGGGAGGAAGGCCGACAGCCGGGGTAGAAGGTTGGGTTGGATAGGGGGATGCGATCTGGCACACAGAGCCTGGCACAGAAACCTCAACAGATGGCTGCTGAGCAGCAAGGCTCTCAGACTCCTTTCGGCAAAAAAAAGTGAGAACGGACGGACGGAAAAGGACATCGAGTGTGAGTGGAAAGCTGGAAAGTGACTGAAAATACTGTACAATTAGGGGAACATTAGTATTTCTTTAATGGTTTGAACTCAATATTTGTTCTGTAATGATTAGGACTAAACGTCGGTGATTTCTGATAGTAGAGCCGACATTTTCTCAAATCTGTTTTTTCATTGTTCACTGCACATGCAAATTATATGCATTTTTAGAAAAGTGATTCAACTCGAGTCCAATATGCTTATTTCTAATAATTGCACAGTATTTTATGTTATAGTCTTGTATAGTATATTATTAATCTTTGTTTTGTTGTGTGTGAACCTTTATATCTGTTGCTGCTGTTACACCTGAATTTTCCCATTTCTTCTATTCTAGTTTCATTAACTAACTCAGGATTTAATAATTGTCTCTCCAATCGTCCTCTGATGAATTGTCTTTTTGTTCCTCAGGTGAAGTGGGTGTGGCCTGGATTCACCTGTTGACTGGGAGCACCTGAGCCAATGTTCCTCACACCAGTGGCTGCTCGTTCTTCCCCTCCAGCAAGCAGTATTGGCATTTTTGTTTAGTTGGTTTTGCTTTATCTGAATTAATTAAGCCTTGTGTTGGTTATCGTCTTCATTCTCTCTTGTCTTGTTTTGGATCCTGCTGTACTTTGATTCGGTTTGGTCTTTTACTTGTTAAAAATGTATGTTAATCTAACAAAAACACATAAATTTGCCTTAATATTGTCGTTTCTTTTTGTCGTGTCCTCGTGAGCCAGGTTGTGACACAAGACATGTTTTCTAATCAATTATCAAAATTATAGATTCATTGATTACATTTTTCAAGCCAATACTCAATTTCTGCTTTTCTTTGAGGTCAGACCTTCTGATATCTAACATATAAAAGTGAAAAATGAAATAAGAAGTTTTTTTTTAATCTAGTAGTTTAGAAATCAACTGAAAATAAACTGATACTAATATTTATAAATCAAAGCATGAATTTACAACCTTTATCTTTTATTGAATAAGTCAGAATAAGACCAGAAATGATGGGATGTCTTAGTATGCAAATAATTAATAGCAAAAACATAAAATCAGATCTTTCAGTATTTAATCCACCAATCAGAACCGATCAAGTCAAATTTGGACACTTTAAGAAACCAGGAGCTGCAGATGCTGGTACTGTAGACTGTGTAATGCTCACACACTTAATGCTGCATCTGGTTGAAGCGACGGCAAATCCCTCTTTAACCAGCAGAGACGAGACGTGAGAGAGAGGGACAACCTGGATAAAACCCAGGCCCGCCATAAGGTCCAATCCCAGCTAGCATTAGTGCAGTAACACAAACACACACACACGCACGCACACGCACATGCACACATGCTTCTGCACTCAAATACTGTAAGCTTCTTTAATGCAAGGCGTCTCTGCTTACCGGGTCATCTCTGCTTTTCAGCAGCGTCTCCATAAGTTGTGATGTGAAACACTGAGAGATGAAGTCAAAGCATCAGAGCTACACCTCCACTGCTTCTCTCCGAACATAATTCCCCGAGGTGAAGGCCCTTACCGCAGGACTTTATCTGCTTAATTCAACAGTCAGCTGCAGAGGATCTGCCTGACAAGGTCGCAGACTTCAACAGCTATTAGCTCCGATTAGCGAGATCAACCTTTTAACTGGGAGGTGCATCAACAAATGGGAGGCTAGTCAATAAGGGAGCGGTACTGAAGAATTATATACGTCTCTGAAGGCATTTCCTGTCAACCTAGAAAGCCAATTTTCTTCATTAACTTTTAATAGTTTGGTCTCTCTCTTTCTTTCGGAGTTGAGTCATGTCTACCTTCTCTGACTGAAGTGGTTCCACTTCCTCTCCATCAACACAGACAATGAACCCGACCAAAGCCCAACAAAGCGAGTCTTGTTCTCTTCACCAGCTTTTACTCTACATTGTAGTGGAAACTGCCTGAACACCATTAAAGGTCATTTAGCGCACATTATTATTTCTGATAAGCCCTCGTTGAACTTCTAATGGCAATAAATAGCCTTACATTTGTTCACGCCAACTGTATTTAGACATTTATGCTGGGGCTTTCCATAAATCATAACTCTGATACTCTATACAGACAGGATGATATCTTATCTAGATAGAGTTTACTTTTATATCTAAATAAATTAAGCATATTGCATTAAATTAGGGGAGACAGGATCCAATGGAAGAACTGATCAATTTCAGATCAGCAATTGATTCTCATTTCTCTTTAAGAATTGTGATAACAGAAGCAGTAATTCTTTACATTAGGGGTAGATGCATAATTTTCTCCCGTGAATGAGCAACCACCAGAAAAACAGGGTTTCACTAATATATCAAAACAAAAGACAAAATGATTAAGGAAGCCAGATTTTAAACTGCACAGTCTTTACAGTCTTATCTGAACTCAGATTTTTAAATGACTGCCTACATTTTAAAAATCTAGCATTTACCATAACAGAGTTTGAAAGCTTAAATGGATAATACAGAGCTTCTTTCCTGCACTCCCATCTGCTGAAAGTCTTGCTCTCTCTCACTCTATTACAGCCTGAATGAACCACAGAGACGTTTCAAGCCACATAAAACAC